AGGGAGCAGCATTCTGTCAGCTCCACTTAGGATGTACCTCCCTCTTCACTGAGGGAGCAGACACTTTCAATAAGCTGCAGAGACTTCCACACTGATTTCTTTCTTTTTTTTTTAAGATTTATCTATTTTTATATGTATAAGTGTTTTGGCTACATGTATGTCTATGCACCACATGCATGAGGTACTTATGGAGGCAAGAATAGGGCACTGAATTCCATCCCTTGGAACTGGGGTTATGGGTAGTTTATGAACCACCATGTGGAGGCTGGGAATCGAACCAGATCATCTGCAAGAGCAACAAGTGCTCTTAACTGCTGATTAAGAGCATCTATCTCCTAAGTCCGATCCCCCTCCCTGCAACCACTGATTTCTAATGATGCTCTTCGCTCAGAAGCACAGGCATCTTCTTGGGGAAACTGGTCCCTTGTGGGCACCTCAGGCTTTCCGGTCTCAGTGCCCTTATTCACTAGTATGTTTCTGGGCGTGTGGCTCTCGGGAGGAGGCCCAGAGTCTGAGGAGTTCTGGCTTCCCAGGAACCCATGCACGTGACCTTCCCTGTTGCCTCTCTTTTTCTCCAGAGTTCACCCCATGTGCTGACATGAGGACCCCAAACTGACTCCTGATGGTCATTGCTTTTCTCAAAGCCCCACCCGCAGAATAAAGCCCAACTTTCTTGTCATCTCAGATAGATTAAAGTCTGAATGGTGGATGAATTTTGATCTTGTCACATCCTCTCCACACCCTGGGTCTCCTCCACTAGACTCTGGTCATGGTTTGAGCTGTGACCCTCAAGGGTCACCAAGGCAAACACTGCCCACCCACTGCCATTCTCATCGATTCTGTCCATTTAGGAAACAGGTGTTGATGGCCAAGATCTATACTGATCCTTCTTCCCTTCTCTTAAGGGGTTTCTTCATGCAGTCTTTCATTTGGGGAGATGGTGGGTGCTATGGAGTTGGCACAGAACCCCGCCCTCTCTTGGGATGGTGATTTACCAAGCCTGGGCCCTGAGTGTCCAGACTTTTCTCTTTGAATGTTGAGGCTGTAGGTGTTGAGGGCTCCACCAGATGGCACCAGGTACTTGTTGTGCTGAACAATCTTGTCGATATTCTGGGGCCTCATCAAGGATAACCACTCAGACATAAGCATTCCTTTCCTGTGTTGATTTAAATGTTTATTAAACATAAGAGAGCACAGATCTTAAGTGTTCTGCAGTGAGACCACATCTATGCAGCACAAGGAAACAGAGGCCTCAGCTCCACCTAGTTATGGCTAATAGGACCAATAGAGTTCAGCCACAAACGTGGGTTGTTCCCATTCAAGGTTTGAAAGGAAATACATTTTGTGTGTGCATGCGTGTGTGTGCATGTGTGTGTGTGTGTGTGTGTGTGTGTGTGTGTGTGTGTGTTCTTTAATTCAGTATCTATTCAATCTTAGCCTTAATTTTTACTATACAGGGATAGACAGCCAGTTAATAAAAGCATATTGTTTGTGCTTTTGTTCTGTTGCTGGAATAAACTGAAAATATAATGCCAGGGAGGACTTAGAAGGGAGGAAGGTTATACTGTGAATGCTTCCATGGCTGACTAAAGACCTGCAGAAATGGAATCGGAGAATTGATGAACTGAGGGGTGGTGGCATAAGGTACATGTGGACGCTGCCACAGTTACAAATTAGGAAAACCACCATTCTAGCACCATGCACATGGATTGGAAGATGTTCTGAAAAACATCCGTTGATGGAGATAAGCTAAGCAGTGGTGGGAGGGGTTCAAGGGAAGCAGGGCTTGCACAGTATATAGGCCTTATCCTCTAAGATATTTGTTAATGGATATTGGACAATGGGCCTATGAGTATTTGCAGTATACACATGCATACAGGCACACCCCATATTTCCACAGTGGGGCACTCAACAGGCCCTGTGGGACTCCTCCCAATGTCACATCACCTAGTCCTAACCACCTGGGACTCCAGCTCCAGGAAGAGTTGTAAAGTAGCTCACCTGAATTCTTTACAAATCATGAGAAACAAGGAAAGCCCAGAAGCCCTTGGAGTCACTTAGCTCAGTACAACGAGGAGTCCTGGATCGGATCTGCAGCAGAAGAAAGGG